TGGCATCGGCACGTTGGTGGCAATCGCCCAGTCCTCATGCGTGGCAGGGGCCGCACCCGTAATGACACAAACCCTAGCAGGTCAGCCCGCCACCTGAATGCTCTGATGATTAGGCAGAAGGAAAGGTGTCAGATCAAAGGGGAAAGTGGCCATGGGTGGAGTGGTGGTTGTGGTCGGAACCGATTTGGTGGCGACAATGGGGATGAGTTGTGCGACGCAGGCTGGATGACTGCAGCTAGGAGACACTCAGATATGGAGTTTGGGGAAGTCCGGTGATGGTGGCTGTGTATCGGGGAAGGGCGCGGAGGAGCATTAACTGGTGAATCCTGGTTGGTCGGTTGATGTGTTGGTTGTGTAGTCACAATCGCGGGAATAGTGCATTCTTGCCTTGGAAACTCAATCGTCCGGTGGGCTACCGGGCTAGAAACAGGTGGTGGGCTTTGTTGATGGGCCGAGGAGTGGCAATCCTTGGCAATGTGTCCCCAACGTTTACAAGACCGACACTTAATGCGATTCGTACAGCTAGGCCTGTTATGGCCCGAGAGGAGGCAACGGACGCAGAACAAATTTTGAACATGCGAGGATCCCGCCTTAGTGGCATTGATGTTTCCATTGAATGCATTGATGTCCGCTGATCGAGCCTACACCGAAGATGGCGCACGAATTGAAGAATTCTCATGGGGCCTAGGAGAACCAGTGTTCCTGTGGGCAGAATCCCAATAGATCGCCGGAGATCTAAGAGCTTGAAGATAGGTTTTAGTGGATGCTTGTGAAATATATGAGTCCACTCATCCTCTTTTTCTTTGAGGTATTGATCCAGTTCCCAACTCGAGTTCGGACCGCCATTGCCCCAAAGAAGGAAGTTGATATTGAGTAAGGTTGTGGAGATGTTACCTCCTTTGATGATTGAAAAACCCACCTCTTTGGAAGAGACCGAAAATTTGAACGACCACTTTTGCAAGCGCTCGACCTTAAAAAGAGATGCACGACCACCAAAGAAAGCAAGAAGGATGGTGCTTACGGATTCATTGGTAAGACGGATTTGGGATCTCTTAAATTCCGCCACCAGGAGGAATTCCTCACGATCTTTACCAGCTTCATAGTTGATTGGGACTCCCCATTTCCTCCAAACTTCAGCGGCGAAATCTTGCCCCACGTCGAAATTAAGATCAGCGAGAGCCATGGCCAGCTTGCGGGCGTCGAGTATGACACCGACCGGTGAGCAGGGTGGTGGACGCCGGGGCTGGAGTGGCCACCGGCGGGGGGCTAGGAGCGGGGGCTAGGAGCGGGGGCTAGGAGCGGGGGTGACCTCCAAAGTTAATCTGTGCCAAACATAATCTTTTTCTATTGAGTGTAGACATGCTTAATACATGCATTTGCTATTGTTTGGTAGCGATGTATCTACCGAGACATGCTAAGTTGAGACTTTGTTTGGCAGTCTGCACCTGTTTAGACATGCTGAACAATTTTAAATTCTGAATATATATTTTCGAATGGTGAACCAAATCTTAAAAAGTGAAAAAATATCAAAACATGAACAAAAAAATTGAACATTTTTTTGAAAATTTCAATAAATTTTGCAATTCGGACATTATACAAAATTTGAATTTTTGAATATTTAAACAAATTTTGAAAGTCGGAGATGACGATGCGCCCTTCATCAGCCAGATGGCCCAGTCCTGCCGCTGCTTGAGCTTGGTCATCCCCGCTGCCTCCGTCCCTACCTTCGTCGCCTCGCGTTCCGACTGCTCAATGGCTAGCCGGAGCGCCTTGGCGTTCTTCCGGAGCCGGCGAGCGTTCATCTCCACCGTTGTAAGAAACGGCGGTAGACCCAAGCGAGGAGCCACTCTTTCTTGTTGGGCCCGCCGGCAACCCGCGGCGGCGGCGAACAGATTGCTCCACCGCGTCCCTTTCCCTTACCTGCTGCCTCTCGCGGCGGGCGGCGCGCGTCTTTGATTCTGGTGTGCGCGTCAGCAGGGCTGGCGGAGCGGGCACTAGCACCCATCGTTGCCCCTTGCGGAGCAGCGTCCGTCACGGGAAGGGGACGATGGAGGGGCGGCGTGGACCGAACAGCCCACGCAGAGCTGCGCGCGGGCCAGGAGGGGCCAGCTCCAACGTCCGCGCTACACTGGCAGGGGACCGGCGACGGGGCAGATCCGGAACGTCCCCCGTGTCCACCTTGGCCCACTCCAGTGCAATGTGGAGGGTCAGCTCCTTGTCGACATCTAAGTCGGAGTTGGAGCGGCTGTCAGAGCTCAACATACTCGCCGGAGTCGTCGGATTCGATCCAAATCGAATAAATCAAAGGAGAGGAGAAGAGGGGACGAAGCGAGAGCGGAGAGTGAAGTGAGCTAGGGTTCTGGATTGGGTTTTTTGTGGGGCTGAAGTGGGGTCGGTGGTGGGTCGGGCTGACGTGGACGATACGCCCGTGTTCTATTTCCATACTATATTTAGGCTGAATATAAGGAGGTGTCGGATGACTTGAGCGTTTGAACAAGTTTAAGGCGTCCGGTGGGTCGGATCTTTTTGACCGGCCGGTCGGCCCGTCCGGGCTAGAACCACTACATGCATTAACGATTAAACGCCACAACGCTATGCCAGGACCTGTAGGTACGTGGTTTTGATCGATATCACGCTGGATTGGAACTTTCCATGCATGCAGTGCAGACAGCAGTGCTAGCCTAAGCCTCGACCGCATTTACGCGCCTCCACCAGCGAACCGTACTACATCACCGCCTGAAGGCACGCCAAATTCAAGGATCGAGAGCAGGGTAGAAAGCACTGTGGCATGTGAGATCCGTTGGGGCCTACGCATCATCGTTCTGCCGGTGCTTGCACCAAGAAGTCAAGCTATCTCTACCAAAACGGTGCAATAAATTTGGAGTTACACCCCGGTCAAAACCCAGCAGTGCTACTCATCTACGTATGTGGACGTGTGAATGTGGGTGTTTTTTTGTAAGATGGCAAAATATTTGTCATTTTCATCAATTAAGGAAGAAGGTTTAAGACAATGGATATAACTAGGTCTCAGTCGACTGAGACTTAATCAAGTCCCAGTCAAGCCACATAACATATAAGAAAGAAGAAGGAATAACCGAAAGAAAATTTTGCTAGCATCAACTGAGATATAACCAAGTCTCAGTTGACTGAAAATTAGCAAGATTGTATGACAAATGACCGCAAAGCGGTATATAAAGAACCGCTCGCGGCATTACAATACTCAAATGGGTGGAACCAGCAATAGCCCAAAGATGGGGCTACTCTTTGATCTTCGCAACGAGTATCATCGTCGTAACGGCAGTGTTACAAAAAAACTCATGCATTGGGCTCTTTTCAAATCTCCCAAGACATAAGCATGGAGAAGGAAGCGAGAGCCATTTTCTAGTTTACACGCTCAATCACATTTTTTAGTGCACCATTCTCAAATTGAAGGCCCAATTTGGCAGTTCCTCATCACATCATCCTGTAGACCAAGCCACGTTGCAACCTTGATCCAGACACGCTGGGAGAACCTGCATAGGAAGAGAAGGTGTCCCGCGGTTTATTGGACTTGCTTGCAAAGGTGACAGAGGTTGCAATTCGGCCATCCACAATGGTGCAATCAATCAGCCGCCCATACTCTGTTTGAATTATCAATCAAGAAAAAAAATTGCATTTCAGAGGGGCTTAACCCTTCCAAACTGCAGCACGCATGATGCTTGTCCTGTGTCCCCCATACTGCGTGGACGTGGGTGTGTGCTTATAGTAGAAATCTTTTTCCGATGCTCGCAAGTGCGGTGTCCACGATGGAGGAGATCCCTTTTCCCATGCTTAATCAGGGTCTAGGACAATACACCTGAAAATTATATTTACCTTTTTGAATAAAGCTCTTAAGGGACCGTTTTATTCAAAGAAAGGACAATGCACTTGAAATCAGGACACCGATTCCTCTGAGCTAATGCTTATTCTCCTTGATTAACAGATGAGATAAATCTTTTGCCTCTGTTTTAATTTTTTTTTACTTCCATCACATCGTGTCAATAATCTGCAGCAACCACGAAATATCTCGAATCATCAATGCTGTTACGCGTTTTCTTTTCTGACCTTGGTGGGGGAGGGACATAGACACATGGTAGCCTAGATTCAGGCCGCTGATGTGGTCGATGCAAGTAAATATAGATAGATGGGTATGAAGGCACGCGCATGTGACTCGAAGCTCCCATGTTGCAAAGGCTGATATGCAACATTTTTCTTCTTCTGAAACCGCAATGCACGTATACTCGAGTCCCCTCATATGAACACCCGTAATGACACATTGACACATCATTCATTGAATTTTCGAACCAACACATATCAAATTAAGCCAAGCGCCCTGAACAAATATGCATACTATCTACTAGGAGTACTTTGTCACCATTTACGGATGCATCATTCATGTACTAGCAAAACTGTAAAAAAAAGGCACCAGTTACCACTAGCAAAACTATAGCTGCATGATGTCCTCTTGAATAGTACGGAAACGACGAATGACGCCGGCCGACATCCTGAGTCCAGGCCTGACGTGAAAAACACGAGCCGGCACTGTGTCTGTGTTACGGTGCGACCTGCAAATCCCCCGGCCATCTCACAGTCCTTGCATTGCACACTGCACCAGGCATGCCGCCGGCGCGAAACTACGACGCGTGGTGCTCAATCAATACGGCCCCACGGCGACCCAACCGTGACTGCTCCAACCATGCATGCACGACGCACATGCAGAGGTAGCCCGATCCGGATGACTTCCGGAGCGTCTCCACTGCAGCGCTACAGCAACCGTTCACTCCGGATCGAGCGCGCCCCGGCCATTACATGATCTAGCTCTAGCCACCATCAACCAGCTGCCCTATAAATACAGCTCGAATGTGCCGGTCTCTTCCGGTCGATCACACATTTCCTCCGCCCACCTACCCATCCCGTCCGCCGGCCGGCCTCGAACCTTCCAAGTTAAGCAGCTAGCTAGCTAGCTAGCACGGCGGCGAGGAATGGAGCGTGTCTCGCCGTGGCTGCTGCTGCTGGTACTTCTGGTGGCCGCGTCAGGGCCGGGTGCGCGCGCCGATCCGCAGGTGCCGTGCTACTTCGTGTTCGGGGACTCGCTGGTGGACAACGGGAACAACAACGACATCGCGTCGCTGGCGCGGGCCAACTACCCGCCCTACGGCATCGACTTCCCCGGCGGAGCCACCGGGCGCTTCAGCAACGGCCTCACCACCGTCGACGCCATCTGTAAGAACCCGCTCCCATTTCTTTTTCTTTTCTTTTATTTCCCCGTGCTTAGCTTCTGTAAAGTAAAGGTGCTTATCAGATGAAGGGTCCTTTTAGTTCGATCAATATGCATGTGATTGCAGCAGCTCCGTAATTTCCTAGTCGAGTTAAGACTGCACATATCGGGTGAACGTACGAGGCGTTTATTTGTGGTCAACCAAAGACCCCTTCACTTGCCGTGATGACGATGTCTCCATTATGCTAGCTAGGTTGGTATCTAAAAAAGGGAAAAACATCCATGACGCACACGGGCGGACACGATGTTAGTTAAGGAGCGCGCCGAACGGATGCAGCTGGGACACTCAGAACCAGTTAAGCAGCACCCCGTGACTGTGTCTGTAGCCAGAGCCCAGATGATTGCTGGACTTGGACTGGAATCAAGGCTAAAGGAGGCCACTGCGGATCTGTAATGTACTCATGCATACAGGCATATCTATGTCGATTTTGTCTGGCGTACTAACGAACTAGTGACTAAATTAGTTTAATGATGTAGATGTCGACCCTGTCTAGGTCTACTTCCATTCATGCATGCATCATCAAAAGAAAAAGATTCCCTCATAAAAAAAAGAACACCAGTTTGGATTAGCACCCGCACGTTTAATGAATTAATATCATTATTTTATGTTGCTTTCAGCTCGGCTTCTGGGCTTCGACGACTACATCCCAGCGTACGCGGGCGCAAACAATGATCAACTCCTCTCCGGCGTCAACTTCGCCTCAGCTGCGGCCGGAATCAGAGACGAGACCGGCCAGCAACTGGCACGTATTTACAAACTTTTTTTCTCTTCTTTTTCGCAGAAGAAACGTGATACTATATATGATCCCAATGTGGCTAATTAATGTTGCACGCACACTGGTAAACATGGTATGCAGGGCCAGCGCATAAGCTTCGGCGGGCAGCTCCAGAACTACCAGGCGGCGGTGCAGCAGCTGGTGAGCATCCTGGGGGACGAGGACTCCGCGGCGAACCACCTGAGCCAGTGCATCTTCACGGTGGGCATGGGCAGCAACGACTACCTCAACAACTACTTCATGCCCGCCGTCTACGCCACCAGCCGGCAGTACACCCCGGAGCAGTACGCCGACGTGCTCGTCAGCCAGTACACGCAGCAGCTCAGGGTACGTACTGCCAGCACGTACGATCGAGTGTAAGTGAAAATGCATGCATGGCTGTTGGCTGATGCTGTTTATGTATGTACGTGCTTGCAGATCCTGTACAACAACGGGGCGAGGAAGGTGGCGCTGATGGGGGTGGGGCAGGTGGGGTGCAGCCCGAACGAGCTGGCGCAGCAGAGCTCCGACGGGGTCACCTGCGTGGCGCGGATCAACGGCGCCATCGAGATCTTCAACCAGAAGCTGGTAGAGCTGGTGGACCAGTTCAACACGCTGCCGGGGGCGCACTTCACCTACATCAACGCCTACGGGATCTTCCAGGACATCATCAGGTCGCCGGGAGCCAACGGTAAGGAAGGAATCTGGTACCGAGCTGCACGTTTGTACGGAGAGTCTGAAACTGACAGAAATGGAGGGATGTGGATGCAGGCCTGACGGTGCTGGACAAGGGGTGCTGCGGGGTGGGGAGGAACAACGGGCAGGTGACGTGCCTGCCCTTCCAGACGCCGTGCGCCAACAGGAACGAGTACCTCTTCTGGGACGCCTTCCACCCAACGGAGGCCGCCAACATTCTCGTCGGGAGGCGGGCCTACAGCGCCGCCCAGCCCTCCGACGTCCACCCCGTCGACCTGCAGACGCTTGCGCGCCTCTAGTTATGCAACAACCTGCTTTTCCAAAGAGAAAAAGAAGTTATACAGGTCGCATGCATCATCAGCATCAGAACCATATGTGATGGCTATATTTTGTTGGGGTGTGTGGAGTGGTCCGTGGGAATGAAAGGTGAGTGTTTTGTTACTTCAGTGCACTGCATACGACAAGCAAGATGTATGTATGTGTGCATCTGAACAACGTACGTACTTGGAAGGAGGAGTATATGCTATAGTTACATTTTTTCGGTTTTGTTATTGTGAAGATTCATCCATCATTGTGCTTCGTTGTGAAACAGCACAGTTCCAAGAAAACTATCATTGTTTTTGCATGAAGAGCGTGTGTGTGTTTAAGACAAAAGACTCAGGTCTATTATAGAAGTTCATAAAAAGTATTCCCTCCGTTCTAAAATTCTTGTCTTAGATTTGTGTAAATATGGATGTATCAAATCACATTTTAGTATTAGGTACATCTGTATCTAGACAAATTTAAAACAAGAATTTTGAAACGGGGGGAGTACAAAATATCGGCGTGTGATTTAGACGACTGTTAAACTGGGCCTTGTCCTGGCTCTGGTGTTTGGTCCATTGACAAACGTCTTTTTAATGATGATAACTTGGCTTTCGTGATTCCCTTCTCTAATGAAAGTTTTGGCAACGTTGACTTTTCTTCCAAATCTAACACTACCCTTGGTTCACGTGTTTTCCTGGCCTCCTTTCTTAAAAAGTTTTGGGAAACAATCAAGGACCCCATTTATCTTATTATTCAAGGTTCTGCCTGGGCATGCCTTAATAATACCGTTCTTTCTCTTATCCCCAAATGTAAAAGGATGGGTAATATCCGCCGATTGCACCCCATAGCCCTCATTAACGTTCTATTTATTGCCAAAGCCTTCGCTAGTTGTTTGTCTCCGATAGCGCATAAAACCATCAACCTCTCGTAAACAGCGTATATCAAGGGTTGTAACATTATGCATGGGATTGTGTCTCTCCACGAAGTTATTCACGACCTTCAAGCTAGTGGGTGTGAAGCCATCATTCTAAAGCTTGACTCTGAGAAAGCACATAAATTGCATGAGTTGATCTCCACGAGCTTGGCAATGATATAACTGAGGATGAGGTGTGGGAGGCCATTAAGGAGATGCCTGGCGACAAGGCACCCGGCCCTGACGGGTTCACCGGGCTTTTCTTCAAGAGATGTTGGAGCTACATCAAACATGACATCATGAGAGTCATTAGCTGTTTCGGCGCCCTTCGCACTAACAACCTCCAATGGCTCAACTCTGCCAACGTGGTGTTGTTGCCCAAAAAAGAAGGGGTGGAGGGCATTTTCGACTACAGGCCCATTAGCCTTATTCATGCCGTCGCAAAAATCATTGCCAAGGTGCTATCCCTAAGGCTCGCACTCCACATGGGCGCCCTTGTCTCCCACGCGCAGAGTGCATTCATTAAGAAAAGGAGCATTCATGACAACTTCATGTACGTTCGCAACTTCGCCCACCGGCTCCATAAGTGCAAGACTCCCGTCCTCCTTTTCAAGCTAGACATCAAAAAAGCCTTTGACTCGGTCAAATGGGAATACATTCTGGACTTGCTTCAGCGAAAAGGTCTGCCAGATAAGTTTAGGGATTGGGTCGCAGCTTTGCTTTCCTCGTCATCATCGCGGTTCCTCCTCAACGGCATCCCTGGACCACCCATTAAGCATGGCAGCGGTTTCAAGCAAGGGGACCCTCTTTCACCTCTGCTATTCGTGCTGGCAATAGACCCGCTTCACCACATCCTTGAGCTGGCAACTCATAAGGGCCTTATTCACAAGCTTCGCGGGCGAGGGGCCATGGTGAGAAGCTCCTTGTACACTGACGACGCGACGGTTTTCATGGCTCCGATCAAGTCAGACATCGACAACCTGTCGATCATCCTCAGAGGCTTCGGCGATGTCATGGGCCTGTGCACCAATCTCCAAAAAAGTTCCGTGGTCCCCATTAGATGTGCCAACCTGGACCTGGAACACATCCTCAGCAATATGCCGGCGACACGGGCCTCTTTTCCCATAAAATATTTGGGCCTTCCGCTATCGGTTTGGCAGCTTCGGAAAATTGATTTCCAATATCTGGAGGACAAAGCGGCTGGCAAGTTGGTCACTTGGGAGGGCCAAAACATCACCACCATTGGTCGAACGGCGCTTGTCAAATCTGTGGTCGCTTCTCAAGCGATATACTCCATCACGCCATTGATTGTCCCGCAAGGAACTCTCCACAACCTGAACAAGATTGAGAGAGCCTTCCTTTGGTCTGGATCTGACAAGACAACCGGCGCGTAGTGCAAAGTCAATTGGGAAATTGTTTGCCGCCCTTCAGCATACGGAGGCCTCGGGGTGCTAAACACTGACAAGTTTGCTCGTGCATTAAGATTGATATGGCTGTGGTACGAATGGAAGGAGCCGAGCAAACTTTGGGTGGGTTTGGGTAACCCATGTACTGTTGAAGACCATGATTTCTTCTATGCATCCACCACGATAGTCATGGGCAATGGTGCAAAAACACCTTTTTGGGACTCCCCTTGGCTTCTTGGCCGCAAGCCCAAGGACATTGCTCCTCTGATCTTTAAAGCCTCAAGGAGGAAAACTTGGAAGGTGCGCAACGCCCTTAGGGCGAACGCTTGGATGCTTCAGATCAAGAGGGACACCATCATCACCGGCGACCACGTGCGGGAGTTCTTCACCCTTTGGATGCTCACTCATGACTTTCACATAGATGACGACGCCGAGGACGACATAGTGTGGAAGCACTCCATGGACGGGATCTACTCAGTGTCCACTGCTTACAAGGCACAGTTCCTAGGCCTGACGCTATCCCATATGGACTTCATGGTGTGGAAAGCCTGGGCCCCTCCGAAAGTTAAGTTTTTCACATGGCTTGCCTTGCAAGGGCGGATTTGGACTACCAACCGCTTGGAGCGTCGTGGCTGGGCAAACTGTGGCCTTTGCCCCCTATGCAAGAGAGAACAAGAGACGACCGTTCACCTCTTCGTTCGGTGCCGCTACTCTACACGGCTATGGAACATGGTCATCCAAAAATTTGGGCTTGTGCACATGGACACCACCACTTGGCATCTCCACGCATCCCTCTTCAAATGGTGGGACAAGAGGACCGACATGACGAACCCCCACAGGCGAGCTATGGCCTCCCTCACTATGCTTGTCTCGTGGACAATTTGGAATGAGAGAAACGCTAGGGTATTTCGCCACAAGAGTGCGCCGCCTACAAGCCTTCTCCAACTTGTAACCAATGAGGCAAAGCTTTGGGTAACCGCCGGCGCTAAGAATCTAGGTAACATTGTAATAAGCGAGTAATTGTCAGGCCGTGATGTGTGTTGGGTCAGGTCTTGTAACACTCCAAAACACTCTATCCTTCTCATTTAATAGATGAGGCAAATCTTTTGCCTCCATTTCAAAAAAAATCCTTTGGGATGCTTCTCCTTGGAAGGATTTTGTCCTGATTTTTGTTCATCATAACATGCAACTTGTTACCAGTGGGCACACTGTGATGCCTGTTAACGGTGTGGTTGGCCCTTATTTGCAGAATGGCAGGGGCATGCGCCAAATGGCCCTTTGTTATTTAATTTGTTATGGATACACTCTCTAGTATCCTTGACGCATCATGTAATGCTGGTCATATTAGTGGTGTTGCGACCCAATGAATTCCTGAGGGATCTCTCACTTTCAATACACTAACACATTGTCATTCTTATCGAAAAGAATGATCTTCAGTTAGCTAACTTTCTTGCTTTTTAGGCTACAACTGGCCATAAGATAAGCCTCTTTAAAAGCGAGGTCATAGTTTTGGGTTGTCCAGAGGTTGAGCAGGTCAGAATTGCTAATCTCTTGAATTGTAAACTTGGTTTTATCCCCATGAATTTTTTGGCGATCCCTATTGTCGATAGGAAGTTGTTAGCCATCAATTTTCTTTCCTATTGTTCATAAGGTTGGGCAGAGGGTTCATCCTTGGGATGGAAAGTTTACCCAAATGATAAGTGCCACATGTGTGGCATGAAGCACTCCGGCCCTGAAGTTTTTTACAAATAAAGTTGCCATCCAAAAAGAAAAAACAAACCCCAAGAAAACTAAAACTTGCCATCCTAAAAGGAATTTGCCATGCTTGACAACTAAAGTTTCCATCCTCACATCACTAAAGTTGCCATAAAAATGTTTGGAATTGCCATGTGTTCGTGCCACATGTGTGGTACTTACCAGGGTCCAACCTTTAACTCGTCCTAAGGGGAATGATCCTTACTAAATCTTGTCTTTCTAGCATTCCCATGCATCACATGGGCTTCTACCATTTGTCAGATGGTACACATGAGTGCTTTGACGAGCACCGTAGTGCATTTTTATGGAATTGTATTGATAAGAAGAAGCATAGGCTCGTTAGATGGAGAATCATGCGTAAACACAAAAAGCTTGGAGGTTGGGGATTATAAATATGGTAATCATGAACAAATGCCTTATGATGAAGTGGTGGTGGAAACTTTGCCAACCAAACTGTTATGAAACCCATTGGGGGTCATATTCTTAGTGCTAAATATTTCATGCTTAGAGAACCTATTTTCTTTATGTCTTGAAGCTGCTCCCAGTTATAGAAATCCTTGCTTAAACTTGGTGACGAATTTCAGACACAAGTCAAATTAACCATCAGATCTGAAATGTCTTATAGGTTTTTTCTTGAATGGTAGCCCGGGGATGGTTTGTTGAAGGATTGTTTCCCTATTCTCTTCTTGTAATGTGGCAACACTGTATCGCACGTTTCTGAGCTCCATGCTAGCAACTGGGACTTTCGTTGATGCCAAGTGAGATGGATCAATGTAATTTCTTAGGAACCCAATTAAAATCTACCGACTGATTAATCAGTCATGTAAACCTCCTCAGTAGCATGCCACGTGCCCACCCACGCTCGCGTCCTCCACTTTATTTCTTATCACATCTCATTTTCCTCGGAGCTCTGCTCTCC